GCGGTGAGGGGCGGGGGCGCGGGGGTGGGGAGGGGGGTGGCGTGCGGTATCAGTAGACCGGCTCAGTCTCCTATGCTGTCATAATATTTTTGCTGTATGACTCTTGACGCTGCTTTTCATTTGGGACAATTAGCATTCACCCCATTGCCCCCGCCACCCCACCCCCAAATGCCGGGGGGCAAAAATGTTTGAAATCACCGGCATCAGTCCAAGCGCTTTGTCCACATGGTGTGAGGCCGTGCGTATGCAGGTCCCCAGATGCCTAACAGCTCAGTTGGAATTAATAGAGGAGCGGGGAGGGTGGTGGTGGGGGGAGGTATAATGAGGTCTATGAAACATACATTTGTTTGCTGGGGGGGTCCGGCGATAGACAGCACAATGGACCCTTGTTTCCCGGTAAGTAAATAAATAAATATGTCAGCGCATGTTGGTATACACTGGGGATCAGAGCCGAGCCCCTCCCCCCCGACACACACACATACACACACACACACACACACGCGCACACACGCGCAGACAGACAGACAGACAGACAGACAGACAGACAGACAGACAGACACAGAGAGGAGATTTTGAGGTAGTAGCCCCAGACTGGAGAACGTGGGGGGCAGTTGAACTGATACTGGAGGTGACCTGCTTGTCTCCTTGCCAGAGTGGGTCAAGATACAAACACATCCCACATCCCTGAAGCAGTGAGGAGGGTGATTTATCCCCCCCCCCCCCCGACACTTTTACAGCCGCCTGTAATGATGCTTCTACGCTACCTCCAGCTTCTTCAGAACGCATCCCTACCCCTCACCCCTGACGATATTCAGAGGACCACTCAGAAGCCATGAGGCTCTGTCAGCTTCCACCCCCCCACATCCTCCAAAGTAGATGATTCACGGCCACCAATTTCAATCTCAACAATTACACAGAAAGTTTCTGCATTCCCAACGTTCTGGAAGCATCCGTTTCATTTTACCGGATCTCAAGCTTAGGGCTTGGCCACCCCACCTGAACCTAGGCGTCCATTTCTCAGATCCGTACAGGAGGCCTGACTCCACACTCTGCAGGAATTCAGAGACTGACTGATGCGTCTCCTATCTCTTTGGCCCTTTATCTACGGGGATGTTTCGCATTGGGTCAGATGCTGCTATCAGCTCGCATCCCGCTGTGAACTCTGACTGCTAATCCGGAGAAGCTTCCACATTACGGCCTGTCATTCATTCTGAACTTATCTGTCCCCTCGTTCTGCTTCCCATATCACTCGTCGGGAAAAGGTACATAAATATGTCCAGCCCCAACCGCAACCCCCGCCCACCGCCCCAAACCAGTCCCAACTGACCGTCCACCGTCCCAAACCAGCCCCCCTGTGCTCTTTTCCTGAACTCTGGGCTACGCTCCTATCCCTAAGAGCTAGACAGATCCACTGCACCATACCAAACAAATAAAACACAGCAGGGATGGGGTAGGATATATAAGCTCACAGGCTGTCGAGCGCCATCCACAGACCAAGCTAGGAGGTGTGGGGGGGGGGGCCATCGAGTGTGCAGCTGCGGGGCAGTGGCCTGTGGACTCCCCCCGAGGAGGGGTTAGTGCAAGAACAAGATTAATTTGTTTATTGCAAAGTCAGCCGGCAGATCCACTCAAGGGCCTGCTGAACACTCCTGGGAGATGACAGAGAAGTAAATGTTAAAGGTTCATGGTAACCAGCACGTGAAACGCCAGCGAAAACCCGGCCCCGTTCTCTCGCTCTAAAAACACGACTTACTCTCCCATATGGAGGAAATGTCTGCGATCCTGAGACGGTGAACGGCTCCCTGGACACGCGGCACATCCCGGCATGGCGGAACCGGAGCTCCGATCCCTCTCAGCGTTACCTGGAGGTTCTCTCCCAGGAGCTGCTGTGCGGCAAAACTACCCATAATTCATGCCTCTGGCCACTTGTAGAAACGCTATCTGAATTTAACCTTTTTTCAAGGGGGGGCTACCTTTCAGAGGGGGGAAAACCTAAATCCTTCAGAAAAGAAAATAAAACATGAATATCCCTAAGATTTTACTGTACTAAAGATCGTGTGCTTGACTCCCACGCTGAGTACATCAGGATGGAACGTACTAGAAGTCCTATCTGGGTGGGGGTGTAGTTTCCCAATACTTTAACGTATTACAGTATAATATAAGCTGCTGTTTATGGTGGTAACCACTCATTATGACCTGCAACCTCAGCCCCCAAGTGGAAGGGCACGAACAGTAGATGTTAACACAGGATGTATATTGAAATATGGGCAAAACCAACTGAACATGTCAAAACCAAACTTCCATGGTCACCATTTTCCTCATGAAACCACCAGGAACATCAGATGAAAGCCTTCAAGGCTGCAGCTATCTGGAGGAGCCTGAAAGCCGTGCAGCCACTGAACTGCATGCTTCCACCGTGGAAAAAGGGTTTGTGCTGCAAGAGGAGTCACAGGCCAAATATCATCTGGTTGACGTTACAGCCTTGCAAATGTGAGATAAACTCAAAGATTTGCCTCTTTTGCAGAGTCTCCTTCCTGCCAAAACATTGCCCATGAACAATACAGTTAGTAGACGTTAAGTATGGCGTTCCTGCGGCTGATCCAAGGAGGCTATTGGAAAAACCGGGCCAAATTTGGAGATATTGCCTTCAGGGTGTCGTTAGGACGACAAGGGACGGGCTGATTCTAATACTGCTGTCGGGTTATGGATGGGCTATCACAGGCCGGCTCAGATGAAACCGAGCATCTCCGAAGGAACCAACCTGCAGCTGGAACTCATAAAGCAGCGCCTGCACCCGAGTCCACTCTATTATCGCACATTATCTGAGTGCTCTGAGATTCCTGCTGGTACGGCTGTCACTCATTCGAGAGCCACACTAATTTGAGGAGACCCCAGATCCCAGTCTTCAGGATTTTTTTTTTTAAAGCAGGGAAGATAGCCCTGTGGTGATAGCTAATCCTGAGTGGACACTTGGACTGGGAGGGGAGGGGTGGGGGCGAGGTACTCACCAACGGACGAGCAGCCCATGTTCCAGGAAGTTCTTCAGGTTGGGCAGGGTCTGCCGCAGGTCCGGTGTAGAAAGGCCATGCTGGTACCTTAACTGGAGGGAGAACCAGGAAAAACGTTATGAAACATGCTGGGGGGGGGGGGGGGTTAGGGGTTTATCAATATGCCACTCGAGGTGTTGGATGTGCCAAGACCCTGGATGCCCATCATGACTACATTATCAGCTTCTGGAAGACCACCATGAGTCCCTAAAGCTTTCAGCCGGAGCCTGGTTTTGGACAACTGGACAAGACTCCTGAGACTTCCGAACCACTTTCATTCCCACCAAGGCAAAAACAAGAGGTGCCTTCCCTTCAAACCCAGCTAACTACAGTTACAGACTCTACTTGCTAAGGACCCCAATCTCATTAGCTCACAGCGGCAGAGAATTACAGAAATGCTGTAAATGATGACTAATGTTCTTATTTGCAGTTATATTTTGACACCCTGACCATTTCGATCATAAAAACCATTTAAATAAAATTAATACAGAGCTGAACAACCTTTACTGTATAAAACAGTAGGGGTCACTTTTTTACTTGACCAAAAACCTGCATCCACTTTCCAAAAAGAACCATTAATTATTTTCTTAGCTACAGCATGCTTCATGAGCAGGGGAACATTTACAAGAGGAAAAAATATAAAAATGTAAAAAATGTAAGAATAATAAAATGAAATAAAAAGCTAAATACTTTAAAATTGACATTAACCCTGAAATTATTCTGCTTGAAGCTGAAAAATATTGGGCAACGCTTTACAAAAATTGTACCTTCATAATGCATCCATAGAACATTCATAAACAGCAGGTAAGATTGCATTAACATCAACATACCTTAACAGCTTTATTATGGATTAATAACTCATATTATAAGATTATCATGTTTGTTATTTCATATAATGTTTGTGATTGATGTATATTAAAACTGTTAAGGTATTCTAGGATGTTAAGGTATACTTATATGCTTCTTATGAGTGCTTATGAATGCATTATGAAGGTGTACTGAATGTTCTATGAGTGCAATATAATTGCATTACGAAGGTGTAGTTAATGTAAAGCATTGCCAAATACTCTCCTATTTGCATATTATCTTATTTGCATGAAAGTAAACCGTGTTCAGATTGCTATGGTCCGGTTCTGGGAAGATGTAGCTTTAGGATCAGTGTACTGACCTTGGTCCCAACCTTAAAAACAGGCCCATGTTGGATTTCTAACGGTACCAAAAAAATAAAAAATAAAAACCCACTGCAGACGGCAGGAACCTTGAACCAATTTTTTTTTACAGTTTGGAGGGGGCTTTACCATCTTCCTTGCCTTCTCCATGAGAGACAGGAGGGGTATTACACTTGGGTGGTGGGCGAATGGGAAATAGAGTGATCTAACAGTATCATCCATAATACAAACACACTTCCTGGCAGCGGCTGGAAAACGAAACCATTATACATGTTTTTCATTTCTTGTCCTTCGGTTGCAGAGGTACATCACTGTGCCGACACCACCCGTCGGCTCCTGGACAGGAACATCTGTGTTTTTCCGCCCACGGCGTGCAACTCTTTTTAAGTAACTGGATTAATTCGCTTTTATGTGAAATAAAAACAGAGCAGATGAAATGTGACAGAGTCATACACAAGCTCACTGCATGTCTCTGAGCAAACAAATGTTATATTCACTATTATTTGCCTCCTAAACAATACTGGTATTACTGAGAATAAAAGCATCCATAGACTGCAGGCACAGGAAAAGGTTTAATGGCTGTACTTGGTGAAAAATTACCCTGGTATCACAAAGAACTCCCGCACTCACATTCCTCTTTTTTTTGTGGGCCTTACTGACAGGACTTTAATATTCTCTGATGATCCCTTTAAAGCTAGACTGATGACACGTCCACTAAAGCCTGCGTCAGGGAATTATGTGTGTGTGTGTGTGTGTGTGTGTATATATATAATCGTTTTAACCACATACATATATAGACATTTTAAAAACCTGGAACAGTTTATTCTGAGGTCAGGTTTTGACGGGCGCTTACTCAACGAGGAATTGTGGATTCCTCGAACCCAAGGTCGAACAGTTCAAAGCCCGGTTGGCGTGATATCCCTGATCTTTTCCAGAATAACTCTGTGATTCATTTTCAGATGAAAATGCTAAATAAACAAACAAACTCCGTTCCAATCAGTGTGTGCGTGTTCCACCTACAAGCTCTGCTCTGTTCATTCTGCTACAAAACACTCGACGGCAAAGCTGACGCTTTTGTTCAGTCTGGGACCTGCTCAAAGAGCCTGTACTGGACAGCATGTGATTTACTAATGGGGGAGAGGCAGCACCAATCTTAATTGCTGAAATAGGGCTAGCAATTCAGCTGTCCCCCCCCAACCGTGCATCTGATGGTCCCTTCAGCAAGTCAGCATCAGAGGCCGACACCCTCCCAGGTGAGAGGGGGTGTTGCCCGTTAGGGAGAATGTGCCTGCTGCCCTGGCGAGGGACGGTGCCTTATCGCGGGGACAGAGACGCGGGTTTGCTCGCAGACTGGATAAATATTCACGTGGAAATCTCCCTGGCTGGTTTGCATGAAGCCGCTCCTCTGACCGAGCAGAGTGCGAATTGCTCTTGGCAGAGGACACCGCTGGATTTAGGCCCGGAACACGGCCTATTCATGAGCAAATGCTACCCCGTCTGCCTGAAGGCCGATCATTTAAATATATGAGCGCCCCTAAAACGCCCAAAAATACAGCAAACCTGGGGAGAGTCAGGCCTCACACATGTAAAACTTCATTTATACATAATTTATTTAGTAGGCACTTTTATCCAAAGTGACATACATTTTTGGAGGAAGCAAGGTCAGACAGTCCCTGCAGCAAATGGAGATTAACGGTCTGCTTAGGGACCCAATGGTGAAACCAAAGTGCTGCATGTGAAGCAGCGACTTTCTGATCATAGGCACAATGTCCTAACCCTCTGAGCCACATTCCGCTCCCCAAACTAGACATTACTGTCAATTAGCTCTACGTTTCCACAAATTGACACAAAACACGAAGAGAACCCCGCAAGACAAAGGCCAACATTGTCACCTGTGAAAATGTCACCATTGACAAGATGTTGAGTCAAAAACTTTAACTTCATTTGGGGAATGTCAACGTTCGCGCCCTCGCCATCTGGCCGACCCTGATGGAGCTGATGGCACAGCGAGTCGGCAAGCAGGCGAACAAAAACAAAGCACATGCCATCGCGTTTGTCCGACATTTCAGCACGTTAAGGAAAATGAAGATTAAGCTGTAATAACTTTACAGAGAAGTTGTTCTTAATCGTGTAAACTCCACGGAGATCTTTCAGCACCCGCTATGCGCAGATTCTCACCCTCCAGCTCCCATCTCCCTCCTGAAAGTTACCCCCCCAAGCCCCCGTTTTGAGCAAACTCCAGGCCCATTAACCCTTCCGGAAACTGAGAAGCTTGGATGAACCACACCTAGGGCATTCCTAGCCGGCCAGATGTGATCCTCGGCTATGACAGATATAAAAGCGCCCCCTTCTGGCCCGTCTCCCTGTAACTTGGCAGCTTACCGAAGTGCTTCACCGCCTTTAATGCCACACAAAGATGTCAGAACATATGATAACGCTTCAATGCCACGCCTGTTCTCTTAGTGCCGGATGTACCCGCCACAACAGAGGAATCCCACCCCAGCATGTCAGACTGGTGGGGAAGCGGGGGGCCATGACTTTTGTTTGCCTGAGCGTTTTCACCGTGGCAGGGTTTGTTTTTGCAGCTAAATTAAGCTTCTCCAGCATCTGAGAACTGCCCCCTCTCCCCTTTGATTGCCATCAGAAACTCATAACACTGTCATCTGCTCTGAATCTGAACTCATTACAAGCTCATTATGAGAAGGCAGCATGTAATATAAGGCAGAACATTATATATTATACATGCTGTTCCTGTTTTTCCTTTAACAGTCACTCAGGTGTTGCATAGAGCCTGTCACCTTAAAATTAGCTTTTGCGACTATGTGCAAAAAATTAATTCTAACACATAGGCTACAACATCAAACTACACGGACTCTAATTCATAAAAAATTAGAATATAAAAGCCAAATGTTACAGGACTGTGTGATCAAATATATAACCTGGCCTTATATGTCCAATTTTTAAAGTTTCCAGAAGGCATCAGGGAGACAAACTATCCAACTGCTTAACTAGTGGTGGATGAGGTCCTGGATGGCCCAGAATCAGTGCGTTCCAAGGTTCTGGAGAAGGTTAGCTGGCGGTCGTGCCCACGCCCCATAAATTACACTCACGGCTGCTCCACAGCCTCTCACTGACACCCGTTAACGAACGTCGAGAAAGTCCAACTTTCAAGAGAAAGTGTCATTAATGATGAATTGTTACACTCAATGACGCTGCTCTTCCTGTGGAAAATTCAGCACAGTTAGACCAAGACTGTCAATAATTACAGGAATTCCAAACCATTTTTAAAGAAGAAAATGTACTACTTAGCACATCGGTCACCGAAACAAAAATCAGAGTAACGACACTGGGGAAAGCAGAACCAAACGTCACAAAGCAGCCCAACATATTAGTAACATTTATTATGCTCCGTTTACAAATGCTGCTGACCGAAAAATTGACAAGTAGCACCCTAGGGTTCTGAAAACATCCAGATCTGCTCTGAAAAAAGCCGATGTGAATTCACTCTTATTTAAGGGGCTTAGTCAACTTGAGGGTTTGGCTCAGACTCAAAACCCTGGCCAAGGGCTACATGTGACCCTGAAACTGAGAGACTGGAAACTGAACAAGAACTGACAAGCTGGAGTCCAAGCACTTGCCTGAACCCAAGAAGGAAAGAGAGCTATTAGTGTAGATCGCACCCCCACTGGGTGCACTGAACACCGTATCATCTTATACACAGCATCCGAAACAGCACATACAATTAATTAGAGCTAAAACACCTTCCCACCTTCCTGAACTTTAGCTACACAGAAACAACACATATTTTATCGAAAGGTAAAACTATAAAGTTTTAGGCATCTGATGTAACAGCTCCTTCACTGAAACCGTACTGCAATAAGACA